TTATTGTACTTTGCCACCTAAATTACCATTTAGGAGCTTGAGTTCAAATTGGTTCTGTAAACAAGATGTACACAGCTGTCTTACTATGAGGAAAATTAGCTTGTATTGAAAACTTTTCTGCAGATACTAACATAATTTAAAGGGTACATAGATCTTAATCTGGCAACTAAGCTTCTAGAAATTTATTCAGCCTTAGCTGGTTTGGCTCAGTGGATAGAGCATTGGCCTGCGAACTGAAGGGTCCAGGGTTTAATTCTGGTCAAGGGCACACACCTGGGTTTTGGACTCGATCCCCAGTAGGGGGCGTGCAGGAGACAGCTGATCAATGATTCTCTCTCATTATTGATGTATCTCTCTCTCTCCCTTCCTCTTTGTAATCAATAAAAAATATATATTAGAAACTTATTCAGAGAAATATTAGCAGTGTACAAAAAAGATCAATTTCCCATAAAAAAAACAAGAACCTAACCCTCATCAATTAAAAACTGATCAATTATGCAAATCTGTACTACAAAATGTGCTAGGTACTTCTTCCCAAGAATATATATTTATGTGCAGCTATTGAGGGAAGTTCCCGTGAAAGGATAGAAATTAAAGATACTATATCTATATATAACAGCTCTGTTGTTTTTCAAAATTGATAGGTTTGTATATACTAGGAGGAAAGACTAAAAAGTTATAGTTAAGAGTTAATTCTAATTTTAAGGTAAGATTTTTCTTTATACCTTCTGTATCTTTAGTTGACTGGATGTGAATTGCCATCTATCATAATTAATACCTGCATATACTCTGGCCCCACATGCTAATATTCTTTAAATATTTCTCAGCTCTTACCTTTATGCCTCCCATGCTGAAGTCACTTCTTTCTGGAACATTTTCCCCCAAATGTCATCTACCCCAAACCCTGCCAGGCTATTTGAAGGCACTCGCTTCCAATAAATCAGTATCAAGGCTCACATTTTAGAGAATCATTTCTCATTTGTCTAAACACCTATTACCCGTGAGGTCTTTTACAGGCATTTATCACCACTTACAGTTTGTATCTTAAGAAGTTAGCTATCTATGTCAGGTTTTAAGTGTTTCTAACTCATTAGGTAATAAGCTTCTCATGAGAAGAAACCAAGATTTATTCATCTTTGTGCCCCCTACAATCCTCAACATAATAGATGCTTAGCCAATGTATACTAATTAATGGGACATTTTTTTGCCATTCAATGTGTATGCTGCTAACAATTCAGAAAAAGACAAAATGATTCAGCACTTTATTTTCAAAACTTTACTTATATAGAATCTTCAGAATGTTTCTCTTTAATTTTTACCACAAGATAAAATCCCACTTTTTAAAGTCAGATATTTTATAATATGTCACAATTAAGTATTGGGAGGAGAGTTCAATCATTTTGTGAAACAGTTTTCATAACCATATATTCATATTCACAATATTCTTTAATATATAGTCAACATAGCATCATATTTAAACGTACAAAATAGCTTAAGTTGTATTTTGTTACAGATCATTCCAAGATTCAAACTACTAAAAGAAATCCATAAACACTGATAATATTTTGGGAAAACAGCAATAGTCTTATCAATAAGCATAGTAAACTTATACATAATACACAATTTACATGTCAAATCCACGGATTTAAAAATATATGACTAATCTACTTAAATCATGCTAGAATCTACATACTACTTTACCATTCATAGGTTGAAACAAATATTCTTTTGTACCCTATGAAAGAGGAACATAAACTATGAAGTCATATTTAACATCCTTCTTAATTCCTAAGAGACTACTTTAGGAATTCTCAAAGATAGCAAATCAGGCATTTTCCCCTAAAATTAAAGTCCTTATGAATAAGTTCATAAGTAATATTCAAAGAAAATAAAAACAAGATGTCGTAAGTTAATTAATTAGGGGGAGATCATATGTTCTCTGTCTTGTTCCAGAAAGGATTTAAGATGACTTAAAAGATCGGATGCCTGGCCAGAGTGGCTCAGTGGTTGAGTGTGGACCCGTGCACCAAGAGCTCACTGGTCTGACTGCCTGTCAGGACACATGCCTGGGTTGCAGGCTCGATCCCCATTAGGAGGTGTGCAGGAGACAGCAGGTTGATGTTTCTCTCTAATCAATGTTTCTATCTCTCTCCTTTTCCCTCCCTCTCTAAAATCAATAAAACATATTTAAAAAAAACTTGGAAAACAGCAGAAAGCACAAATTACAGGTTAAATGAAAACAAAAATAAAAAAAACACCTAGAATAAACAGTTTGGGGAAACAGCACACATAAAACCACTTAAGGAAAGGTCAGGATGAAATATATTACATTATTCTCCATAGTGATTTTTTGGAAATATTGCAAAATCTGGTATTAATTACAAGACAGTTATTAAACTACTGAAGAACTGGAGATGCAGATCAAATGTGTTACATGCTTATGAACACTGATGGAGCAGATGCTGATAAAAATGTGCTTTTTCCTTTGTGCATAAGTGAAGTTTTCCTAACTGCCATGATGTGTGTGATTCTAGATTTAATCTCTAGCTATTAAAGTGTAAAAAAACCCCACACCCACAAAATGTGGGTATCCTGACTTCATTTTTACTGAGAAAAACATCAAGTGGATATCTGCTGATGACTTGAGAACAGGGAGCTTCCTTTCAGGTATTCAAATGTCATTTGGCTCTTATTTAGGTACAGGACAAAGCATCAATCCTAGGACACCCAGACTAGATCAGTTCCTCAGTTCCTCCAGCTCACCTTGTTAGGACCCAGCATGAAACAGGAAGCAGGTAAACTGAAGAACAGAAGACCTGCTCAGGTTGGCATGTTGAGGCCCTCGTTTCCTCTGCTACCCAGAGAGCTGCAGAGGTTCTCGGACCCTGCTTGCAGGGTGCATGTCACAGACCCCACCACTCCAGTGGGGGAGGCAAGTTATAGAGAGAAGGCTGGGGCAGCATTAATCAACTTCTAGGAAATATGAATGTATTCATCTCTATTTTTCAGGTCCTGCTTTCAACAAATGATAGAATGAATGACCACGAACCTAAATGCTGACAGGTCAGAAGTAGAGTGAGGATGAAGAAAGAGCTTGAGGGAAATGAAGGGAGAAGTTGGTAGGATGTATGGATGAGTTTCAAAACTACAGATTATAAATTCATTTTATGCAAATGCAATTATAATGTACTAGAGACCTGGTGCACGAATTCGTGCACCAGTGGGGTCCCTTGGCCTGGACTGGGGGATCAGGCTGAAACTGGCTCTCCGACATCCCACAAGGGGTCCCAGATTATGAGAGGGTGCAGGCCAGGCCGAGGGACCCCACTGGTGCATGACTGGGGCCGGGGAGGGACGCAGGAGGTTAGCCAGCCAGGGAGGGACCATGGGAAGGCTCCAGGGCATGTCTGGCCAGTCCCGATAGGCCGGACCCTAGCAGCAAGCTAACCTACCGGTCGGAGCTGGTGGTCAGTGCACATCATAGTGAGTGGTTGAGCAGCCTTAGCATATCATTAGTATATTATGCTTTGACTGGCTGAACAGATGACTGGATGACCAGACACTTAGCATATTAGGCTTTTATTATATAGGATTAATTTTTAATGGAAGAGGTCCAAGAAGACAAAAGTGTCTTAGGCCCTGTGATAGTCATAAGGTAGCTCTGAATATAGGGCCAATGGACCAATACTGAAGTAATGGAGAGGGACGAAGAGTCTGATCTTATTCCACTGATTTTTTTTTTGAACATTACTTTGGGATTAGATTTTTCAAGAGAGGTAAATCTAATACTGGTGAAGTACTAGTGTCAATTTCTATAGCCAAGCTAGAAGAAAAAAATTAAGTTCATTTGAAGAGACTTGGATGTTTTCAAGTCCTATCTCCAATACTGTACACATTATGAGAGACAGATTTCCCTTTAAGACCCTGCCTCCTGGGCTTCCTGTACTACACTGCCATTCAGTTCTAAATTTCTTCTGTTTCTCTAAGGACCTGCCTGCTTCAACTACCCTCACAGCCCAAGGCTGGCAGTGACAGAAATGTGGGTACCTCCAGCTACAAAAATGTTTTAAGAATATGCAAGAAAAGGAAGCAGGAGAATGAATGAGGGAGGAGGAGAGGAAATATCACAGCTTTTAAAGTTCTAAAAGTACACTATCAAAAAAAAAATGGGGAAGGATTTGGTTTTCTAGATAGAATATTTTCTTTTGTTTTTTAAAAATATTTAATTTAAAAAATTGTGCTCTCAAAGCTCTAAATGCTGAGGATTACCACCTTTGCATTCCTCACAGTATGGCTTAGTAAATATAGTTAATCACTGGCATGCAGAGGACCCAGATTGGAGGAAAGAGCTTCTAACAATTTCCACAATTTTCTATCACCCAATACAAATTTGGGGACTGTCGATCACAAAGGCTAACTAATACCATCTTCTAAGATCTGTTGCCCATGTACAATGAGGAAAATATGTCAAAAGGAAGAGTACAAAGAAATGAATTACTACCCTTTACAGAATCACAGATTTTTCTGCACTTGGAAAGAAATACTAAAATCATAAAATTCAGACCCTTGAATTCTAGATGAAGAACCGGAGGTCCAGACAGGTTATGTGATTTTATCACGGTCACACAGCAAAGCTGATAAAAGGGTCAGGGTAAGAACTCTTAAGTTTCCTGAATTTTGGTCTAAAGCTTACACTCCCAGTCCCCAAAGCAATTGCTTTATATGTTATGTTTCATTGTTTATTCTAAATGCATATAGAGAAATAGAAAATACTACAAGTTTTCTTTAAAAACGTTTGCTAATTTTGGAACTATACCATCTCAAAATATCAAGTCCCAGGTGAATAATCGAACAATTAGAATGAAGTGTATGATTTCAGACCTGGAGGGATGTCAGGAAGATAACTCAGACCTCAGACGTACAGGAATTTAGGCCTAAAGAAGTTAGTAAGCTTATCCTCTAAAATTACAAGGTTGAATCAAGACCCAGGTCATCTAAAACTGGATCACTGCTTCTTCTAGTACTGCCTTATTCTTCCTTGGCTACTGATTATAACCAAAAAGGTAAAAATACAGGATCATACCCAGATTAGACACAATAAATCTGTTATTAATAAGAATATTGAAGAATGAATATAAATTTGATGGTTAAAAGAAATAAACTACAATTAGGATAAATCAGGCAGCATGATTGTTAGGTTTTTTTTTAAAAAATGTACTTAAATGTAAACCACAATTTTGACTTTTATTTGTTTGAAAATGATGCAAGATCTGTCAGTGTCTTAAGCTTATGCATCTAAAAAGAAATCCTAATTATCTGCAATTCTCTAGAGCAGGGGTTGGAAGGTAATGACCAGCAGTGTTTTTTGGTGAGGCTTATGAGCTAAGAACGGCGTTACATTTTTAAAGGGTTGTAAAAAAATATAAAGAATGTCTGGTAGAGATAGTATGTGTCCAGCAAAGCCTACGTTATTAACTAACTGCTCCTTTACATAAAAAATTTGCTGACTTCTGTTCTACATTCAAAAAGTACATGAAATTGGGTTGCATATGCAATTTGTCCTGGAAGGCTTTTTTGTTTTTAAAAGTAAATCTCTGATTTATTTAAGCTTTATTGTAATTTGCCTCTTTCTATTGATAGCAGGTAGTAGAAAAAGAATCTAGTTTGAGGGTTATGATTATCTGTGTTGCAGTTAAATGAGGTTTTATCACATACACACTAATGTGTGGACCTATAATTGAAGCTAATTATTTTATATATCTGAAATCCATACAAAATGTTTCAGAAAGCTGAGGAAATGGCATATTCTGTAGTATTGTGGTTATAAAAAAAAATGGAAGCAAATATCTATAATTAAAAAACTGGTAATTTGATTCCCTCCTTTGGGCCTCTTCCCTATTTTTAAGATTTTCTCCTTAGGCTCTCCCCCCCGCCCGCCCCTGGCCTCACATAGCATGTTGTTAGATTTATTAAATCAGTAATTTTCAACCACGTTAATTACCTCTGGGGCCACCCATCCATATGTCATTTGCAACCATAAACAAATCTCACCAAAACACAGGGAAAGGATGGAAGTGCTCCTAATGAGACATGAGATCCCAAAAATGGAATGACTAGTTCAGGGAGAAATAAAAATTAGAGACACATTCTACTTATCAACCTGAATACAACAGTAAAGCAGACAGCCCTTCAGTCTGCTGCTCTGCTTGCTGGCCACTGCTCACAGGACAGGAGCAACGTGGCAAACCCATTTACACAAACTCTGGTACTCACTACATAAAAACAAGTCCCTATCTCTTTCTGTCACATGATTTATGTGGCAAAGTTCCGATTTTGTGAACTAGAGAAAAGTATCAAAGCTGTGTCACTGTTAACTAAATTACAATCATTCAAGGTTGTAAATGACAGTAGGACCTATTATGTCAAGATTAAAATGCCTTACTTTAAAATCACTACATTAACAATTCCTTTGGACCTACAGTACAGTTGTCTTCACCCACTCCATTCTCCTGCTTGCTTTTATAACTGGAAAGGAATAAATTTTCTATTTGAGTCAAGAATTCTTCAGCGATGAAGCGATTTGTCACTTTGCTCAGAGTTTTCCTCAGACACTCCAAAAGCTAGTTGAAAAAGAAAAGTTTTACATTTAAACACACGAAAAGTATAAGGTTTATATTATTATCCTTATTTAATGATAAATCTCACACTTTCTAATGCTCAAATGAGAAACATTTTCCTTACATATGGCTGACAATAAACTTGTGCACAGTAGTTCCTTCATGATTTATATAAGGAAACACAATTGATATCATATGTGCATATGTGATGCTTTCTACTTTGGACAAATTTGTGACTGTGCTCTTTTTTTTTTTTAATCCTCATCTGAGGATATGTTTTTATTGGTATTTTAAGAGAGGTAGAGAGAGAAAAAAACATAGATTTAAGAGAGAAACATCAACCAGCTGCTTCCGACACGTGCTCCAAGAGGGGACTGAACCCGCAACCTAGGTATATGCCCTGACCAGGAACAGAATCTGCAACCTCTTGTGCACAGAATGATGCTACAACCAACTGAGAGCCACCCAGCCAGGGCCGGTGCTCCTTTTCTTAGTAGCTACATTACAAAACAAAATATCCAGCCTGGCCCACGTGGCTCAGTTGGTTGAGCGCTGCCCCATGCACCAGGAGGCTGCTGGCTTGATTCCCAGCCTGGGCACATGACCGGGAGGCAGCCAATGGATCAATGTTTCTCTCTCTCTTTCTCCCTCTCTCTGAAATCAATAAAAATAATTTTTTTTAAAAACTCGGATAAGATTAAAAAAAATCTATGTAAATACAAACACAGGACTCTACCATTTCAAAACTAGGATGCTACAGTCTATTTCCTGGGAAAGGTGCATATTAATCTTAGAACAAAGCACAGATAAAGTGGTTATAATAGAAGGGGGTAAAAATATTATAAAAGAAACAGCATGTTTACATTTTCTATTTCCAAACTGCTACCAAAAAAAAGAGAAGAGAGAAATGTTGTCACTCTACTGGTCTTAATCCATTACACTCATAAACAAAATTAGAAGTGAAATAAAAGAATTCAGGACTCTTATATCCTACCAGAAAGTTAAGTAAGATGACCATTTAAATTTAATTGTTAGATTTATAATACCATTCTTTAAAATGATCAATTGTTAAAGCTAAATGGAAACATGGTGCTTTTGAATTTAATAAAATGAGAAAAATGTTCTCTATTGTGTACAATAATATGCTAAGAAATTTATCAGCTAACACTGACAAATTTATTCTAAAATAGTATTATTTCTATATGCAAGTGTGGGCAACAAAACATATTACTAATTATCTCCTAGAAATTAATTTTAAAAAGAAAAAAAAGCAATAAAAGAAACAGAAAATGTATCCACAAAGCATTAGGCATCATGGGAAAACACACTGAGATAAATAGCTTTAGAATCCTCAAACAAAGGAGCCAATTAAAATGAAAGCAGCTTACTTTCTGCAAACAAGTCAGGTCAGAATCCCGGCGAAAAATTTTATCCATAGGGACACTGCTGTTGTAAAAAACAGGAAAACAGAGTGATGAAACAAGTACTATAAACTAATCAGTTCTGCAATAAACTATCCCTGATGCCATATATCACAATTTTACATTTAACTTGGGTTTTCTCTAAAACATAATTTAATGAGAAATGCTGCAGATATGCAACCATCTCAAATCACAGCACATACCTATGGGAGAGCCTGTATTTTTCTATTATCCATCTTGTCTTTTCAAACACTAATCCCCACTGAGGTTCTTCTAACATCTGCTGTACTTCGAATTTATAAGGTACACCTAGAAAAGCAGAAAGAAGCACATTTTAATCAACTATTTCTTAAATCTCCAATTTCCTTTTCCCTATTTATATATTTATTTATATTTTATTTTATCTTTTCTGATAGCGCATTGGACTTCTTCCAATCTCCTTTTAATTACTTAAAATCCCTCACTTTTTTCACAACCATAGCTTTGTAAACCAGCTGAACAGCACTTCAACATAGTGAGCCGCCATTAAATATTTACTGCCTTGCTGAACTTAGTTCACCAAGCATATTAATGCCAAGCAATTAATGATAATAATAAAGAAAAGTAAAGTGCTATTTGCATGACAATTCTATGCAAGGAACTGTGAGAGATAAAATGATCACATAATTTATTACCTAAAACAAGAGACTTTTTGAGTGAAAGGGGGCATCGCTAAGAATTGAGCCAGAAGGATAATAGTCTTTAACTGAGTCTAATCTAAGCAAACCAAGACATATACCATTCTAGTGATTTTTTTAAATACAAGTTATATTAAGGTTTACAACAATGTTATACGGTAGGTACCATTATTCCTATTTAACAGGTAAGAAAACTGAGGCTGACAAAGGTTAAACAACCTGTTCAGACTAGTAAATTGGAAGAAGTTGGATTTTAAAACTTACCATGTTTGCCTGATTTCGTGTGTGTGTGTGTTTAAATATATTTTTATTGATTTCAGAAAGGAAGGGAGAGGGAGAGAGAGACAGAAACATCAATGATAAGAAAAAAAAAATCATTGATTGGCTGCCTCCTGCCCATCCCACACTGGGGATCAAGCCTGCAACCTGGGCATGTGCCCAGACCAGGAATCGAACCATGACCTACTGACTCAACTACTGAGCAACACTAGCCTGGCTCTTTTTTTTTTTTTTTTTTTTTTTTTTTTTTTAAATGAGGACACTGAGCCACAGAAAGATTAAATAACATGTTCATGGACATATATAACCAGTAAGAGGTAGATCTAGAACTTGAGCCCAGGCATTCTATCGCAAGCTTATATTCTTAACCCTTCCATTTATACTGCCTCTCAACTGGGTTTTTGACATCATAAGGCTTTTCAAGTAAATAAAAGCCAGCAAATCAGAAGGCATAAGAAAAAAAAATATGACTATACTTCCCCCCTTTTTTTTCATGTGTATGGAAGGAGGGAACAGTGGACTTGACGATAATTGTCTTTTTTCATTCCTCAATTCTCCTCCATTACATTTCTCACCTCCAAAAATTTAAGAAGAGTGACTCCTTTAAGCAAACTCCCTTTGGTGATCATCATTCACTTGATATGCACTGATTACCTAACTAAGTGCAGATAATGGCTATAATTATAACTATCTATTGAAGACCCTAGTATTTGCTAAGCACTTTACACACATTATTGACAACTTTTACAACTCCCTATAAGCAAGGTAATAATATTTTCTCACTTTATGGATGTGGCAAAGAAGAATGAAAGAGGTAAAGTAATCTAACCAAAGTAAAAAAACCACAAATGCCAGAGCTGGGATCTAAATCCAGTTGAAAAGCTCCTACTCCTAATTAAAGTAAAAAATGAGTATAAAGAGAGATAAATAAATGCATTTTCAGTCTCTGCTGATGGAAAATGATAAGTACGCACATGCACACATGCGCGCGCGCACACACACACTATATACAGCTCTATTTAGTATTAAGAATATTTTTGTAAGTTAAAAAAGGCACTAAAACCAGCAAAAAAATTCCTTTTGAATCCACTGAAAACCAGAAGAAAACTAATCACTAAGTATATATCCTGCCTATTAGAAGTACAGAAAATGCTTAACCAGTAGAGACATTTAAAAATAGAATTTGGATATATGAGAGAGAGAGAGAGAAATAGAGATACAGTGGGACCTTGACTTATGACAAGACCGAGCTCATTAAGGAGCTCGTTGACTCAAATTACTCTATCAACTCAATGCAAAAAATCGCCCGAAAGACAGCTGGTATCTCAAAAAACTCGTTAGTCGGGACACACGTAAGTCAAGGCCCCACTGTAGACAGAGACAGGGGAAAAGAAGGAAGAAGGGAGAAAGAGCCAGTAAAAGTACCAAAATATAAGGTATCCCATGGCTTCTAGAAATTCTTAATTCTTGAACCAGAAGATTTCCAAGAGAAGCAAAGTAAAGGACCTAAGATTAAAACCTAATAAGCCGTGTTAATAATGGCCAAGCCATTTAAGAAGCAGTTCTGTCCAACAGAACTTTCCACTAATGTTGAATGCTTGTGCACTGTCTTATGTGAACATCCAGCACTGTTCCCTCTAATCCTTTAAGTGATTCTCTCTCGAATCTGCTGTAGTTTCTTCACATGCTTATGCTGGTCCATTTCTTGGTAAGTACTAAATTCGTACCTTCTACAATCTATGTGATCTTCGGATCTCTGGCCCTCTGTCCTGTAAATTTAGCTGCCTTGGTCTCACCTCCATCACCTCAACTCAGAGCCAGCCTAGCTCTGGGTGGGTTTCTCCTCCTTGTGCCATGCCTGGAAATTCTTCCAAGTTAGTAAGTTTGGTTAATTTGGGGCTCACTATTTTGTCCAGTTTTGGGTCATTTAATTCTAATTAATTTAAATAGTTCTATGTGGCTAGTAGCTACTGTATTGAGCAGCATCAGAGTAGAGGTTCACTCCCAAAATCCAGATTGTGAGATTAAGAGGTTATCTAAATTGAGAACAAATTAACTGTGATTCCTCCTTTTTAATGTTTTGTACAATTATACTGGCTAAAGAATGATGTATATATGTGCTATGTGCATTTTGAACTGAAGCTAATGTCAATACTATTCATTCTACAAAAATCTACAAAGTGGGGGTCATTTCCCAGGTGCAAGGCAATCGATTAATGCTACCAGAGATACACAAACAAAGAAGACAGTTCCTGCTCTCTGGGGCTCACAGTTTAGTGAGACATGCTAAATAAATTACCATTTACCAAGACAAAGTGACCATGAAGACAGGAAACAGTGTAGCAGATGCACAAAGAACAGAGCAACTAATAGTGAATAACTGGAGGTAGTGCTGAGAAGTCTTTATCAAACAGAAGGCACGTAATGTCATTAAGAATAAAGAGAAATTAATCACATGAACATTCACTTGGCACCCACTTAATGCCAGGTTGTGCTAGAAACTGAGGATAGAAAAATGAGGATAATATAGTATCTTCCTTCAAGGAGCTCATGAGCTAACATGGAGGAGTACAATGTGCAGTGACAGTATCGAGAGAAGACAATACACTAGAGCCATGGTAGTTAGAATAAATAAGACAGAATTAATATTCTAGAGATGTCCATTGTTTCCTCTAATCACTTCCCTTCCATCCACACTTCCTTTCCCTAGTCTGCTACACGAATTTCCAGCCAGTTAATTGGACCATAAGTGGAGATAAATCCCAAAAGAGCCAATTCATATGATGGGCTAAACCAACCAAATTCTTTCTTGTAATAGAATGGAAGCAAAGAAATATAAAAAGTTAGGCACTGTTAAGCCTAAACTAAGGTCATAGAGAGCTGGTAGGTAGGGTGGTCATTTTACTTTTTCTTTTTTTCATTTCTAGGCCATCGCAGAGAAAGTCAGTCTGCATGAATTGTGCTTACTGCAGTGCCTCCAGTACCTAAAACACACACTGCTTGACCATACCTCTTCCCAACTTGTAATCATTTTGCACAGTGACCACAGTAAGACAGTGGAGACTGGAATCTAGATGGATATCATGAAAGGCAAAAGGGTGATTGTACTATGTGGCATACAAATAGTGATTCCCCTGTTGATGGCATTAACTTTTCCGTCTACTAGTTTCACATAATTATAAATTCTTTGATTTGTAGAATTCTAAGAAGTAAAGATAGAAAGAGGGTGAAGTTGTTTTTGTTGAAAACTTACGATAAGAGCCATCTGAGCTAATTTCATCACTTATAACCAGACAGGTAATCTGGGAATATGGTAAAGGATTGTTTCGATTATAGGGACTAACAATCATTCCAATGAACTTGGCACCACCTCTGGAGAAGTAACTCTACAATAAAAGGTAAAGTACAATTAGTTTGAACTACATAAATTTAAAAGTCAGTATTTATCCATACCAACATTTTAAACAAAAAGGTGTGTTAAAAATTCAGATCCAAAGAGCGACTAAATGAAATGTCTTCTATAGTCATTCCACACTAAAGTTTTCAGGCCAAAAGTGTTCAGCCAACCTTAAAAAAAAATCTTTACTTGCCATGAATATATTTATTAATTATATTCACAACCCATCAGCTATATTCTTTCTCAATATGGTAATAATTTACAAACAGCTGCCTATGGCAAAAGCATAAAATTGCAGAATAAAACAAAACTTTGTATTTCTCAGAGATGCAAAATATATGTTTCTGATTATTTCAATTATTCCCAGTCCTTGTCCTAATTGTTCCCATCAATTTTTAAAGGCTCTGGGGGCAGAGCCACGTCTCACAGAGCAAATGCAGGAAGTCAGCCGGTTTGGAGACCCTGAATCCATTCTTTTCGATGTACTAGTAAAACAAAATCTGCCAGTGGAGGCAGGTGGCAGAAGCCAAAGGAAAAATAAAGGTACTTTTTAATCTAAGCCACAGAAGGCGAAGGGAGGTGGGGCGTTTTCCACATAAGACCCTCACCCCAGTGCAGCCGGATTCCACCAAGGTTACCAGCTGGGAGTGACTCAGGGACAAAGAGAGCAGCTGCCCAGAGGCACAGATGCAATGACAGGACCTCTGTCCCCTGGGGGTAGAGAGGATGGGGGTAAGGGGGGAGCCCATAAGAGCAAATGGCCACAGGGTGAGGGGCCGCTTACACAGAGGTCATAGGTAAAGGAGACATAGGATGTGGGCTACCGGAGAGTTCCAATTTTAGCTCTGCCCTTTTACTGCCGGCTGCCCTCAAGGAAGTCACTCACCCTCTCTGGGCTGCAGGAGCCTCACCTGTACAATGGGCCACAGCTGCTCCTCACAGAGGAGTGTGGGGTGATTGTGTGTGTGCCCCCACTTGCCCTGAGGGATTCCCACTCACTAGTCAGCACCTCCGCCTCACCACCCTTCCCTCCCCCAGCCTTCCAGGGACTGCACAGGCCCCTCTGGACCTCTTGCATGGACCCTAGACATGCCACTGCTCTCCTCTCTCCTTTTCAATACCAGTTGTCACAGTCCCAGCAGAAAGAAAAAAAGACAGCACACACAAAAGATTTTCTGGAAGTACTTTGGCAAAGGCACTGTTGACAGGTGGGAGAGCAGGGCCAGACAACCAACCAGGGAGATGGCACCCCAGAAACAGAAACCATCCAAGGTCTCAAGGGGGTGGGGCCACATGATCAGCTGGAAGAGGGCACTTGATCAGGGGGGCGGGGGCACGTGATTAGCCAGTTGATCCAATTAAATCAAAGTGACCCAATTAAATCAAATTTAGTTAATTGGATCAAAGTTAGTTGACTAGTACACTGCTCTAAGAAAAAAAAATTGTAAGGCTCTGGGAATAATTATCCCTGTTACTTTGATGGCTTGTCTGTATTAAACAAAACAGCTCATTTTCCAAAATTTAAATAAACATGTATTACTCTAGTAATCAGAAAAAAATGCAAGTTATTTAAATACTCCAGATGTAAAGTACATCAGAAACGCAATACTTTGCTAGGAACCTTAAAAGTACATTTATGTAATAGAAAGCAATGAGGGGGAGAATGTGCAATCATTTACAGAATGCATACACATAAGACCCATAACACACCTGGTATTTGGCTTGGGTATCAATATCTCGTAGGGAAGGGTTGGGATCAAAGGCAGGATGAGAATGGTACCAGCCAATAACACTGTAGCCTCTGACAGCCAAGGCTTCCGAGGCCTGTGTTTGTGAGACAGGGTCCATCTCACACTGCAGTCCTGTACTCAGACTGTTACATGGTTCTGCTGCACAGACCTAAAAAGGAATAAAACTTGTATGATTACACTGAAATTCTGTTAATTCTACTACTTAAATGTTTTAGTTCTTTCACATAGACACAGAAACATTTTAAAGCCAAGCCTTTTATTTGATTACAATCACAGGCAGCCTTTAATTTGCAAATGAATTATACTCCAAAAATGTGATTGTATGCTAGGACCTCAGAATCCACTTTCTATTAAACAAGGCCATAATAATTGTTAATTTTCAGGTCAGCCCATGTAATACCTGTACCAATACACTCGTTCAGTGACCCCTATTATTTATGATAATAATTTCAACAGAATGATGCACACCAAGTTTCAACTATAAGGTTCCACATGCTTCCTGACCTCATAGAGATTATAGCTTTTTATTGGTGAAGGCAATGAGGAACTAAGGCCTGGCAGAGTGTTCCCTCTTTCTCAGTGGTAAAGGAACATAAACGGGTACTCAATAGATGGAATGTTAAGTCACTTTTGGGAATACATAACTTTCTACATTTGTATGTTCTCATTCACATCATATGTGAAGTCACCGAAATCTGTAAAAATATTTGGTATGGCAGTAGGACAAAATCTTTTAACGTCTTTAAAATTGAGAACTTACTTCGACTATCTTATCAATTTCTGAGTATCTTCCTCCTAAGAGACCAATCACTTCTGCCATAGACACATGAGCATGCTGAAAGAGATACAAGACAGACTTAGCCCAAACAAGCCACCGGACAAAAATGTCAGAATAAAACTCACTTATGCATTTCTAATATAAAGTAGTATGCTAGAGGAACTAGATGCTGGGCTCAGAGCACAGAGACTTAGATTTCAGACCCAACTGCACTGTAGTCTGAAAAGCTTTGAACCAAGCATTCAAACACTCCATGATGTTACTTTTTCACTTACAAAATAAAGATACCATTTGCTCTCTCTATTTAGGAAAGATATAAGGATACAAAGTAAAAAGTTATTCTAGAATATCCTACAGGAAAAGAGCATAAACAAACACACAACTATGGAGTCTCAGTAGTTTAGTACAAAGCAACTCCAAATTATGAGTATTGTTCTGTTGTAGTTATCTAGAAGGCAGCAGACAAAGGACACTAGGAAATGAAAACAGGGTTAATGATGATAAACAGTCTGCAAAAACTCACATTAATTTATTTTCTCTAAAATATGGAAACATGCAATTGTTTGGCTTTTCTCCAAAAGAAAAGACTTATTTTTAGATTCCTTGTAAAAGAGGATAGTTAAGATCCAAAATACAGGTCTTCCATACTCTCTCTTATGCCTGCAATAAAAATACACAAGAATACAAATCAGAATAACTAAGTAAACACAATAGATTATCCTTACCAAATCCATTATTAAAAGTGCTTCTGAAGCCACTTTCACCTGAAATGGCTCCTGAAATATAAAAAAAACACACAACAAAAATGGGGGAGCATAAAAATAGAGATTTGTTCTCTCTCACTGGAATGTCCACCCTCTTTACCTTTACCTATCACCTATGATACCAAGGTCTCACTACCAATCAAAGCTCAGTGAGAACCAAACTTCAAAAACAATTTACCATTTAAAACCCTCTCATTTTCCATCTGTAGTACTCATCTAACCTTTAACATACCCGGCCTTGCCCACTATTATTTTTATACATATATATGCCTTGCACATACTGAAGAAGTATTTCATGTCTGACGGGAGGGCATTATGTATGGTCATTCAGTGATGCATAAGTAGTACCTGCTTTTCTTCACTGAAAAAATTACAAGGTATCAGTTGGAAGGGATCAAATGAGCTGAAAAAGAAGAAAGACATTTATTTCTAATATAACATTAAAAAATTAGGAAAATAACATTTATTTACGAATTTGAAAATGTGTATCAAAAATTAAAACCTACTGTCTAAGAGAGAAAAATATTAAACAAGGAAATTTTCTTAAAATGTTCCATACAACCCTTCTGAAAGCAGCACTGCTCTTTTGGACTTGATTTTTAAAAAGGCGGGGGGCAGAGGGAATGACAGGACTTACGGGAGAAAGTAATTCTGTTATTGTAATTTTTTTAAATATCCAAAGAAGAGAACATTAAAAATGGCCAGATATGTATCCTACACTGAAAGCAGATTTCAAAAAGTTCAATGAAGATTTAACCAATTACCTGATATGAGACCTGAAAGAAATGTCAACAAAGATGGAAGTTTCTCAAAAACATTTCTGTCTGTATAATAATATGGTCAGCATTTAACTCAATATTTGTTAATGGATAAATGACAAACAGTTCTGCTAAAGAAATGAATGTATACAGAAAGTTCTATAATAAACTAATATTTTAAAATGAAAAAGTGCAAAAACACAAAAAAAAAAGATGGGAAGAGGGGCACCTAAGCAAGTCCAGATACAAGGCATATGTTAACCAATAGAAGAGGAATGATAGAAAGGCTTTGGCCAGTAAAGAATTGAGATCTGAGAAATATATTAAGAATGAAAAGGTTTTGCCCTAGCCGGTTTGGCTTAGTGGACAGAGCGTCGGACTGCAGGATCCTGGGTTCGATTCCAGTCAAGGGCACATGCCTGGGTTGTGGGTTCGATCCCCAGTGGGGGCATGCAGGAGGCAGCCAATCAATGGTTCTCTCTCATCACTGATGTTTCTATTCTCTCTCCCTCTCCCTACTTCCTCTCTGAAATCAATAAAAATATATTTTTTAAAAAAAGAATGAAAAGTTTCTCTATGTTCAGATAAACAAACAAAGAATATGTTCATGTTAACACAACTGAAAAAGAGTGAAACTATTTTGTTCCTATTCTACCTGAGACTATTAGCTCCAGGAGAACACATACTGTACGTTGCTTGTTGAATACTGCATTCAAAGAGCCTAGAACAGTGCCTGACATACTGTAGGCATCCAAAAAACATTTATTAAAAAAGAACAATTTTCAAATTAGAAAATGCTTTATGAACCTGAATAAAAAGAAACTAAAGGCCAAGATAGATGAGAAAATAGCAAGAGCACATATGCATCCCAGAGCACCGAAGAACCATGATGTGAAATCACTGTCCATGTTTTTTGAGGAGTTGCAGATAATGTGAAAATTATTGGAAGCCTTGGAATAGGCAATTATTGGTCTTATTTCAAAACACAAAATAAGCAGACTTTAGAAACAGAGGAATCAGATGTTGAATATTAGAAAAATTCTAGAAAAGATTTTTAAATAGCTGATTAGTGAGCCTTTAGCAAGTGAAAAGGTGACTACTAAGGATAATAATGGGTTCGTGAAAATAGAAGTTGTGATAAGTAGACCTATATTTCATTTTTGATAGGAAGGATCTGCTAAACTAGTAGACTCAAAATGACTCAAGTATATTTCATCTAAATGTAAGCAAGACATCTGCTATCATTACTTTTCTGCATAGATGAAAAAATATGGGTTAACTGTAGTACCTAACTGATTAAACAATAATGCTGAAGTTTTTGTTTATCCCAGGGAAATATTTTAATCAGTGATCAATGGTGGAAAAAGCAAGCATACTGACATGTTGATGATTCAAAACTACAGAGGCTATTATAAGAAAAGTGGATCTGCCCTAGCCGGTTTGGCTTAGTAGGTAGAGCGTAGGCCAGCGGACTGAAGGGTCCCTAGTTCAATTCCGGTTCAGGGCAAATACCTGGGTTGCGGGCTCCATCCTGGCCCTGGTTGGGGCACCAGGGCCACATGCGAGAGGCAACCAATCGATGTGTCTCTCTCACACCGATGATTCTCTCTCTCTGTCTCTCCCCCTCCCTTCCACTCTCTCTAAAAATCAATGGAAAAATATCCTTGGGTGAGGATTAACAACAAAAAAGTGGATCTGGATTTAAAAATCCTGACAAACTGGAACAATGATTTGATAATCATAATAAATAGAAGTCTCACATTTAGATTGTCTTAATTACTAGAAGAAAATTTCTAGGTTATGGATGACTATATTTCTTACAGTTTATTTCATATAATTTATTCCCACAACTATAACTTGACATATACTGTAGTGTAATCGTCAGGAGTATGGATGCTTAAGCCTTAATACCTGAGTTTAAATCATAGCCTTATCAGTAACAAGTATAAGCAAGTTACTCCAAACTCTTTGTGCTTCTCAGTTTCCTTAGCTATAAAATGGGAATATTAACTACTGCATAGAGTCAGTATGAGGATTAAGTGAGTTAATAACGTTAAGTGCTTAAAACATAGCTAACAGTATTAGCTATTACAGTTATTTTATAAACTAGAGGCCCGGTGCACAAAAATTTGTGCACTCTGGGGATCCCTCAGCCCGGCCTGTGCCCTCTCACAGTCTGGGACCGCTCAGGGGATGACCACCTGTGGGCTTAGGCCTGCTCCCCGGAGGATTGGGCCTAAGATGGCAGTCAGACATCCCTCTGGCAGCCTGGCAGCCCTAGAGGGATGTCCACTTGCCAGCGGGGAGCAGGCCTAAACTGCAGTCGGACATCCTTAGTGCTGTGGGAGCACACTGACCACCAGGGGACAGCTCCGGCATTAACCGTCTGCCCCCTGTTTGTCAGTGTGTGTCATAGTGACCAGTGATTCCCAGTCCCTCTCCTGTTAGGGTCAATTTGCATATTACCCTTTTATTATATAGGAATAAAGACCTGGTGAATGGGTGGGGGCTGGCTGGTTTGCCCTGAAGAGTGTCCTGGATCAGGGTGGGGGTCCCCACTAGGGTGCCTGGCCAGTCTGGGTGAGGGGCTGAGGGCTGTTTTCAGGCTGGCTGGTGTCTGAAGCTCCCAGCCTCTCCTTTTTTCCTTTTTTTATTATGGGATTTATTTTCCTTTTATAATTGAAACTTTATTGTCATCACTGGAGCTGAGAGCTGGGCTTCTGCTCGCTCCAGCTCTGAGGCCACGGCCTACTGAAAGCAGGTATCTGGGGTTTGTTTAGCTTCTATAATTAAAACTTTGTTGCTTTCGGAGCTCAGAGCCGGGCCGCGGCAGGCGGGGAACCTTGGCTTCCTCCATCACTGGAGCAAGCAAGCCTCCTGCTCGCTTTAGCTACATGACCATGTTCGTCTATTATTAGATAGGATAAGGACCTAAGGCATATAAAGGCTTTAAGTAATTTACCCAGGGACATAACAACTGTAAGTATCAGGGCTCTTCCTTCAAAAATGACCTAGTGGCATTCTTGGATGTTGTGTTTTCTTTGTTTTTCGTGGGTGTTTTTTTTTTAGTAATTTCCACCAGTGGATTTTTCCACTGATTTTTAGAGAGAATGAAAGTTAGGGAGGGAGGAGAGGGGAAGAGGAGGGAGGGAGGAGAAATGGAGGGAGGAAGAGAGGAGAGAGAGAGATGGAGAGAGGAAAAGGGAGAGGAACATGCACTCCAAGGACTGAGGAGTGAACCTGAACCCAAGTATGTGGCCTTGTGCCCTTGACTAACATTTGGTACATGGGCCGATGGTCTAATCAGTTAGGTACAGTGGCCAGGGCTTGAATGTCTTGTTTTAAAAGGGACACTGACAAAACTATAGTCCATTCAATGGGGCATCTGCACAAAGTGAGGGGTCTAGAAAACCAACACATGGAACTCACCTGGTAACCCTTAATGTTACAAAGTTAAAAATTTTAGATTATAAATGACCAAAAACCGCATTGCTAACAATCAGCACCAGCCAAAGAGAGAACCAGTCACTTCATGAGGTTGTCTATTCATAATGTCTGAGTTAAATGACCATCTTTTATAAACAAGTCCCCTTTTCAAGATAGGTTACATTCACTAAACCTGAACAAATTTAAAACTTGTGCTCCAGGTGTCCCAAATTGATAAGCAATGAAATAAAAAATTTCTAAATTTGCCGGGAGCTGGTCCATCCTTGCTGTTTCAAGGGACCTGGCATATATGGCATACTGTTCTTAATATGTTTTCTCACCTTCTTGGCACTATGTGTTTTAACCAAGTTCACCTCTCCGAGAAAGGTTGTTTCCCCAGGTAGGGATTTTCCCCTGAAGTTAGGGAGGGAATAAAACCTCTTAACTAAGTGCCAGGTGGGTAATTAATCACTTTAACTACGAACAATCATGCTTAAGCTACATAATCTTTACTCCCTGGAATGGAGATAAGAAACGCCCTAACCTTTGGAATAGAGGTAGATAGGATTGGAATCAACTGGTATAAATACAGATGTAACAAGACAACAGAAGACAGAACCTAGAGAGGCAGAACCGAGAGACAGACCCGCGGCACAGAACTTAGAAGACAGAACCTACACAGAACCTAGAGACAGAAGAACTTCGCTGGAGAGAACATGGCAAAAGATCCTGGACAGAACCTGGCTACAGAACTTGGTTGGAGAACCTAGACAGAACCTGGCTGAATGAAGAACCCGGCTACAGAACCTGGCGACCGAACCTGGCTGGAGAACCTAAACCGAACCTGGCTGGAGAACCTAGAGAGAGAACATGGCTACAGAACCTGGCTGGAGAACCTGGAGAACGTGGCTGGCAAACCTAGCAAGAGAACATGGACATAGAACTTGGCTGGAGATTGTGGCTAGAGATCCTGGCAAGGCTGCTGATCAACTGAACGCTGTCTCCATGTCATTCCTTCTTCGCCGACTCCGTCCACACCTTTGGGGACCCCTGGACCTGCTGGGGTTGGACCTCAGCATAAATTTTTATATGTATTTTTTTACTTAATGTGAACAATACAATGCAACTATTTCAAATATTTTTCTGTGCTCTTTCTAATCATTTATGATAAGTTAAGAATCACATTTATATACCTTTTTGTTGGTCTTTGCACTTTTGAAGATTTAATAGGTTTGCATTTTTCCTCTTCTCTTCTTCTTGCCAACTCCTCAGCAGAGAGATGCTAAAATATAAAACACCAGTTGATCATGGATCCATTAACCATTGAGAGGTAGAATTAATAAAAAATACTCCTTTAAAACCATACTTAAGGGCACATGAGAACAAGACAAAGTTGATAGGTGTGTCTCCTTCTTGTTACTAATAAACAGAAATGCTGAATAATGTGGTTAAAAAAATTGTTCCAAATTATATAGCCATACAAAACTTAAAATTTACTCCTTCTCTTGACTTACCAATTTCAATTAATGGTACCCTGGGTCAAAAAACTCAGAATCACCTGAGTCTTTCCTTCTTCTTATTTCCCATTTCTAGTCAGCAAGTATTAAGTTTTCTTTCACAACTGAGAGACATCCCAGTGGTCATGATAGAGCTGATTCTGGAGGTAAAATGCCTGGATCTGCTACTTCTAGCTTGGTGACCCCAGGCAAGTTCCTAAAGCTTTCTTTGTTTTAGTTTCCTCATACAGTATTTAAAATGGGAACAACTACAGTAATAATAACTATGTCATGATGTTATTGTGATTAGTTAACGATTGTAAAATACTGACAATAGTGTCGATACATGGTTAAGTCCTATGTAAAAAGAAGTGTTTCATTCCTTTTCTATTACCAACCTTACACTCTAGCCTCAATGAACTATGCACTTTTTCCCAGAACATTCCTAGTATTTTTCCATGTCTATACCTTTATTTGTGCTGCTCCCTCAGCCTGGAATGCCCTAACCTACATTCTTCATTTTGAGATTCTCTAGCTCATCCTTCATGCCACAGATGAAACATCACATCCTCTGTGAAAACTTCCCAATCATATCATCTGAGAGGACCTTATACTTCTTGGGAACAATATTATGGAACTAACCACAGGCTTTATCTTTTCTACTAATCTAAGTTACTTCTAGGCAGGAACCATGTATTATTACACATGATCTTAGCCAAAAGGCCGAGAAGCGATGGAAACACATGATTACTAATTGTTGTGCCTAGAACTGTGCTCAGTTGTGAGGTTAGGGGGAGGGAGCGGGTGAAAAAAAGAACAGACTAACATTTATCACCTTCATACACCTTATTTCATTTATTTCACTGAATTCTCACAACAATCGTTTGAGGGAGGTATTATCTACTTTCACATTTTTCATTTGTATAGAGTGGACTTTTTGGACACCTTTGACAATCCAACGTGGAGTCACTATCAGCCATGACAATTATGTGAAGTGTATGTCAAGTTTGAGGAGGGGTCTGGATGGCCAAAACCACAAGTCTGGACACTTGGATAAGAACTCACTGATATGAAAGGCGAACCTCCACCCCTGGTGGGTAAGAACTCAGAGCTCTGATCACCCAACACTTAAGCTTGGCTGTACCACGGGTCTTGCTCAGAGCCCTGCCAGACTTCCATTTCACCAGATGTGTGACATCACTGTAGCCGCCTAGCTCAAAACCGACACCTGCCTCTCCACCTGGGACACCACCAGAGGCTAGGACTTTGAAAAGGGTGCTCACTTTGCTAGTTTCTATAGCACAAGCTCCCCCTCTCTGTGTAATGTGTGTGTGACTCTACTGGGTTATTGGGCAGTCTCCCTAATAAACCTGGCATTGTGGAAAGACATAAATGTGTGTGAATGGCTCCTTTTGGGGATGCTCCCTTGTTCATGACACCATTATACTACACTGGCTGTTCATAAACAAATTATATATGTAAAATGTGTGTGGGTGTATACATACACACATTCATTGCCTATTTTCTTTTTAGGACCATAGTTTTTATTAGTAGAAATAATACTTCAATATTTGCATTATGTCTAATCCTTGGGACAGTATTTTAATTGGGTATCAGAATGTCATTCGGCAATGTTTACTGAAATGAACTGGGCATACCAACTTCCCGGCACCCTGGAAAATATTCTTGAGCTAGAGAGCAGAATGTAGAAATAGATCATCAAAGTTCTGAAAATGAGTCCAACTCCCAATTAACTGCACCACCAAACCCTTCTACTTTGCTGTTTATTAGTAACTTCTAGATAAAACAACATGGAAATGAGACATACATATATGTACATGTTTTTAAAGTATAATATTTGTGACATTAAGATATACAAATATGTATTGACAAAACAACTTTCACTAATGAGCCATTTGAAAAGGTCGTTACCTCAAATGTCTGTCCTTCTAAGTCTTTTGCATCACACCAATTTCCCCATGGGTCTCGGACCCTACGCCTCCTTGTGCGCTGTGATGAGGTTAAAATAAAACAAAAGGTAACAAGATTCACTTGGAGAAAGCACAGCACATTTTAATTAAAAAAACAAAAATGATTTTCCAAAAAGCATTTTCTCCATTAATATATTGTAATCCCGATCAGCAATGCCTGACTAAATTTCATTTTATTAATTTATGTTCAATAGTTAGCACTCTGCTCAGAAATAAAACAGTGATGATTTTCTGTATTCTGGGATTTCGTCTTTAATTTCATTTCCTTTCACCATTTGGAAACTAAAACACTCAAACGAAAAGTATTTTTAAGACTGCTCTGGCAGGTGTGGCTCAGGTGGCTGACCATTATCCCATACACTCAAGAGTACCAGTTTGATTCCTGGTCAGGGCACACACCCAGGTTGTGGGTTGGGTTCGATCCCAATCGGGGTACATATGGGAGGCAACTGATCGATGTTTCCCTTTCACATCGATATTTCTCTCTCTTTCTCTCCCTTCTTCTCTCTCTAAAAAATCAATAAAAACATTTAAGAAATATAATTTTAAGACCAAAAAGAATCCCCAAGAAAATGACTACCTGTTCTATCACTGGTGGTAGAAAACTTGGGGAAAATATTGAAAATTAGAAACAAAATAATTATATTTCAGTCTTATAAAAGAAAAGATTGCTTAGTTAATACAAATGGTAAAAAATTACAAAGTTGGATAACTACATTACTAATATCCAGTTTTGCAAATTCCATGTAAAGCCTTTAAATGGATTAGCTTGCCAGAGGTCACTGTCTGACTAGCAACATCTCCAGCAACTATATTTGAAAACATCCTTTCTTACAGTAAATCTAGGTAGAACTGGTTTCAGCCCAAACACTCGAAGAAAGATACTCACTTAAGTATTTATTCTTTTTTATCTCACCTATTACTAATTTAACCTATTTATTTGTTCACAACCTGATTTTGCCTTTTAGGAGACTTGCTGGATTATTTTTTAAATAAAATTCATGACTTTTAAACTATTGTAAAACTCACTAACCTCAAGAATTAAAAAAGTAAAGGCTAAAATATTTTCGATAACTATTTCAAAAGGCTGAATCTTAGAGTAAGAATTTTAAACAAACAAAAAATAAAGAGAAAAAAAGCGCTTCACCGTACAGTGTAAATAAAATGTTAGATTTAGGAATAAAA